CCATGCTGGCTGGGGAATTCTGGGAGTTGAAGTCCACACATCTTAAAATCCCTCAGGTTGAGAAACACTGGCCTAATCTGAGATTTACTGAACAATTGTTTGTTCTGTTTGCAGAGCTTGCATGACACACCAAGTTATAAGCTCCTGCAGGAGTTGGTTTCACACAACCTGCAAACAATCCCTCATTGGTCAGTATGTTGTATGAATATGGGCTTTGAGTTCGATTTTGTGTTTGAACACCATGCACCACTGCATTCTCACCATAAATGGGTGAATTGGTGCAGAGAGACTGGAAAAATCCACAATTTATCCCACCCTCCTCCATTGTAAAGTGGTGAATAACTGTCTGGAAATACAAGAAGAACAAATTAAATTCTGGCATGATCTTACAAAGATGCCCGCTCCTCCCCCAATCGTATTTTGCTCTGGGAAAGAACACCTACTACCAAAATCGTTTAGGATTCATTCCACGTATATCCACGCTTCTGACTTAAACTTATTCAATATGAAACATGGAAGGAAATGAGATAGAACGGCTTAGACAGTCTGTAGAATAATCCTCAGTGGCTCATTCCCACAACACATTAAACAAAGTTATTAATGAACTCATGTTCAAGTTTGAACAATAACTTGAAACATCTGCTTGAAACAGGTTGGATCCTCACAACATCCTAAGCCAACCGCACACACAAAACTTAACTAAGGTTAAAACTAGCTAAGTTGGATGTTGTGTGAATGCAACTGCTTGACTTAATTAGGTGTGATCGTGTGAACACAGCCAGCATCACACCAGTTAAAATTCCCAGGATTCATTGTGGGATGCCAAAATAGTTAGAGTGGAAAATTATCATATATGTTTAGAGTATAGATTGAACCCCTGGTTTCATATGAAACATTTCCCATCCACGTATCCCAAGGTGTGTAATGGAAAGTGGGGAACAGTATCTTGGCTTACAAGGTTGTCTCTAAAACAGAGATCCTAGTTTGCATAGAAAATCTGGCCTTTGGTTGGGTTTGTGACAGGGTGGTCAAAAGGTCCCAAAACTGTATTTTCAGTTAGCCAGGAATCTTCTACATGGCATAGATACAAGTCTCAATCAGCAGCTGTGATGGAATGGAATTATGAAGGCCAGGCTCAGGGAGATAAGCATTTTCTTAGCTCGCCGGAGGAGCATGGGAACTACAAGAGGATGAGACTGGCACCTCCCCGAGGAATTCACATTGTTGTGGCTGGCTGACTTGGGAC